CTTTACACTGAATTTTTAGGCCAAAAGATTTATTATGCACTTTATAAAAATGAATGACATTAATTTTGAATAACGTTGAACCAGTTGGTTTAGGTTTGTCACAGCACTTCGGACGCCTAGGTTTTTCGGTAGTTAGAGACAGAAAAAGAGAGATCATATTCTGCAGCCAAAAGCCCTCATCATTGAAAGTGCTGACAGGATTTGAGAGTCGCCGTTTGACAGTCAAGGGTTTAATTATACTTACACCCTCGTTCAACAGATTTTTCCGATTGAAAGAATTCGAATCGAACGGTAAATCGTACGTATTTTAAACAGATGGATATCTATTTGTAATACTGGGTCGGACCATCTGGTGTAAGTCTTGGATGTTTGATATTGTCACGGTAACTGATAGGTCACATGGGCGATACCTATCCAAGGTTTGAAAACCAGAAAGTTGAAAGTCTACCGTGTAGTTATTTGGTATTTCGATAGCCATAAATGGTGTACAAAAAGTTTTTGCCTCAAGATTGATATCAAAATGCTATTGAGGGCTTATTTTCATGTGCGTTTCTTTTACAGTTTAAAGAACTACTTCAAGCGACCTCATTTGAAGAGTGTTTATTTACGGTATGTAGCCCCTAGTCGTAATTCTTATCATCACGGAGACAATACAGTTGTTCATTAAGTGTAAATGTGGCACTTTGCGTAAATAATATTGGTATGACTGACAGCAAATTCCTTTAGGTATCGTTTTACAATATGACCGTAATCATTGATTACCCTCTATTTTAACTAACCTGTGTTTTCAAACATGGTCATGGGATTTGTTTTCTGTGCACAAATATACGAGTTTATATTAAATCGGGAACTCTGTCGCAACACAACCAAAAAGTTGTTTTCTTTCAATTATCGCGACTCTTTAGGGTATAAACAGTTTGCATATTTGCACCACCACGATCCCAACAGTATACAGTGATGGACACTACCCCACAGCGGTATAGAAATTTAAATTATTGCAAATATGAAATATTTATGCCTAAATACCCACACCTTGAGATTACAGGAAGTTCGATTGCGATGTATGACGGACGATATAAAAATATTGATTTGTTGCACAAATAAAGCATAATTTATTATGAAGGGTTTAAAGGTGGGGCAATGACATTCGCGTAAACTTATAAACCAAACCCTTTTACGGTGCCATAAAATCATGTAGAGAGCTTAATAAACATAACTGGGATAACGATAAATCGCATTCTTGCCCTTTGTGTTCCTTTATTTAACCGAACGACGGTAGGTGTATTTGATTTTTGCGTATTGTATGCGTATTGACTACTAGCAATAAGCAACAGCGAATATGTTGTAAATACTGTAAGCATTACTTCCACTTCTCTTTCACGTCAAAAAGTTACACTAATCCCCTATTAAATAAAATGGTAATAGATATCCTTCTCTTCCAACATCAACTGTTGAAACACTTTTTTGTTAAAACGAAAAAGAGAATGGAATTCTTCAACGCTTAACCGTGTGCATATCACACAGTCGGCTCACATTAAAACACCAACAGGTAGACATAAATTTCCAAATCCACGGACAGTTCATGTGTTAACTATTTTCGGCCACATGAAATGAAGTTTTCCCTAACATTCAGTTTAATTATCGTTGATGTTAATGTGATTAGCATAAATTAAGTGCCACCTTTCTATGCGCCTTATTTATGCTGTCAACACACTAAAAAATCTATGGGTTCAAAAATGATATTTATGGTGTTGATGAATTGTGTACTAGCCAACACTTTTACAATTACAACAATAATTTAATGTCAATGCTAAAATTGTTCAAGAATGGCTATTTGTGCCGTTACAATTAATGATAAATCTACGTTTATGTAATGCAAAGGATGTAGATCATAAACTTTTTAAGAGCATGATCGAATTTGTTTCCTTTTTTATAAAACAATTTAATTCGAATACCACTACAAGATTTATAATCTTCTATAACCTTAAATTTTTTGCTTCGAAACGGCAGTATCTGAAATATTTTAAATTGTGCTCGTTGTTTTTCTTAAACACCTTGACCACCACGTTGTTTGCCAGTGGAAGAATTTAACTCGTTTCAAAAATGTCAATAAACCGAAGGCTTTGTTAAAAGACGGTAGCCGTTGCCGTGTCCTTTTTTCTTTGAAGTCCCCGCCCATCATTAATTAGTGCATGAATGATTAGAGGAGCAGGTAATTAGGGATGGCTTAGTGAAATATTTTTACACTTGTGTGTGTTTACGTAACGAACCTCATTTTTTACAGTAGAAACCAATCCAATAATTCCACATTTTTAATCCCAGGTGTTTTTAAACTTCGGGACTAGTAGTTAAAGACGGGAAACTTTCGTAACATAATTTCTTATTATATTTAGTCCAATTTTTGTTAATGTAAGTTAAACAACTTCCGTAGTATAACGGAGGAAGTGTACGCTAAAAATGCTTCATATACGAGAATATTAAAGCATAATCCACAGTTTACTTCCCTTACAATTTCCTCCTATATTTATTTACCAATTTGTGTACTTTGAGCTTGTAGATTCGTTTATTATTTAAAACTTGCTTAACTTTTAATAAAAATAGACCATAGCGAGACGCCCGTTCATTTCGGTATTTAAAAAATAATAATAAAGCAGCGAGGGTCCCGAAGACTGAGCATTGATTAACTTAAAACTGTAAATAGCAGGGCTTTTTGTCCCATGAGTTTTGTAATTTGATCAAGATACCTACGTGGTAGCTTGAAAGCTCAAACCACATTGATGGCTCACGAATAATTTATAAAACGAAAGAGAGTATCTGAAAACTTTTACGGGTCTTGTACTGTTGTTTTGTCGGCAGTTACGTTAGCGCTTTATTAATCTGGGTCAGATAAGATATCAGACATGTTGAGAAGTAAGTAACTTTTGCAAAATTTTGTAAAAATGATTTACGATAAGATTTTCGTATCCTTAAGCGAACTAAACTTTTATATTTTGCCGATAAGCTTTCTGTAAACTTTTCAGTGCTTTATAAATGGCTTTCAAGTAGACGGTCTTCTATTTAAAATATTCATAAACGATTTTACAAAAACTCTGTTTAATAATGTATCTATACACTAAGCACGTTATTAACGATACTTTCTTATATTTACTGATAAATAATAATACATTCAGTTTGTGTTACCTACCAGTTGAAAAACGCGTTATTCACAATCATATTGTAATAGGTATCATAAATGTCATTTAAAGGTGAGGAAGCTGTATATTGCAGTATTGGTTTTTCATGAAAGGAGTTTCTCGACTTCACTAATGTATTGATCTTCCCACTACCTCCATTTTAGTTGCTAATAATGCTAATTAATGACGCAAGTTTAAGTCGAATAGTAAGATCTTCCTACTAATATAATTTTTTATTACTTCACATTGTTGTGTTCTCGGATGTTATGGGATCAACTTTTACGCCAATAATATTCACAGTTTTGTGGCGCTTTTGATTCTTTTTTCTTTCCACTCCCTCTGACTAACTTTAACTAATTACCTAACACCCTGTATATAACCGAAGCCGTAATTCATACATTATAGTGGCTACATATGAATGGTAGGAATGTATAATATGCCTTTATTCAATAACTGCCATATAACAAATGAGACAATTATACCGTTACTCTGTAACATTACTGTGTAAGTAATAAAGAGAATTGTAAAAAATTAATTAAAAAAATTAATGTAGAGAAAATAAAATAGATGCATAATGCGATACTACAGTACAAAGTACAAACTATAGCTAATTAAAATCAATAAATTAATTGATCATTATTCTGTCGTTCTGTTGTTGGTTGTTATCTCCTCAAGATCATGTATAATTTTGTATTGCTGTCTGTCTGTCCGTCCGCACAAAAACGATCTCTAGGATTGTTCGGTATTCAGTTGTATCGGATTTTTTTGAGTTTCTGAATCTTATTGCGTTAGTGTCACCTAATTCTAATTTCACCTTACTAGGAAGAATTTCTTGAGCTCCAGTTCTTACTTCAAAGTGAAACTCCAGGCACGTATTTATGAAGACTAAATCGATCACGAGGTGATAAAATGACAAGTATCGGGTACTTCTGGTAGCATCGGTGTAATGTCTCTCCATATTGGTATACTATCTCTTAAATTAATAAATTATTTGATGAAGAGTCATAAAATACTGGAATACTGGGTTCAACTCCGGGTTCGGGTAGGGATTGTAAGTGTATATAGAGGAGTTTGTTAGTAGTATAGTAAGGCCGATCCTGGCTCACTTTACATTGAAAAGTGCCATATGATTGAAGTGTTAGCGTTTCAAGGTCAAAGTGGTGTTGAAGGTCAAAGTGGTATTGCGTAAGTGGGTGGGTGGGTTTCAAGGTCGAGTGTTGAGAAGAAAGGGGTGTATTGTTTGTGTTTTTCGGAGGGGGGGTGATGGCTGAAGGCCATTGGATTTCAAGGTCGAGTGTTGAGAAGAAAGGGGGGTATTGTTTGTGTTTTTCGGAGGGGGTGATGGGTGAAGGCCATTGGATTTCAAGGTCGAGTTGTGAGAACAAAGGGGTGTATTGTTTGTGTGGAGGGGGGGTGGCGGCGGCTCAAGGCCGTTGGATTTCAAGGTCGATCGCTGAGAACAAAGGGAGGTTGTGTATGTTGTTTGTGTGTAATCAAATTGTTTGTGTTTTTCTGGGGTGCCGCCTCAAGGTCAAACGTGTTGCAATTTAAATATAGATATTAGAAGATGTTAGCTTGAAATGTGGTTAGTGTTAAGGGGGAATATGCGGCGAACGGCTGTTGAATGCCTTCATCAAACCTTATTGGTATTGCTATCTGATGCTGAGCATGAGGCGGTCTATGGACCTGAGACTTTTAGGGAACAGTGTCAAAACATTGTCCAAACGTATGAGTTGGGGATTGAACTATGTAGACTCTTTTTAAATTACAAAATATGCGTTGATTGCCTTATAAACGGACTGAACGAGACTCAGTTGGGTAAATACATAATATGGTGATGAAGAAAGTTACATTTGACGATAGTAACAATCGCGTGTATGTACTGATCGCGTGGTCCTTTGCATATAGTGCGGCACGAAAAGGGCCTTGGGAAACTATGGCCTTGGATAGATTTCGCTTTAGTACAAAAATAGAGCAATTTTGTAAGATATTGTCTCCCGTCTTAGCAGAAAATCATCGTTTATCAGTTTATCTGACTAGATTTCAAGGTCACCAGAACTCAATGTAATGGTATATCGCACTAGATTTCAAGGTCACCAGACAGTAATGTTTATCGCATTAAATTTCAAGGTCAACAGACAGCAATATAATGGTGGTAGAAACGGTGAATGGAATCAGTCGAATAGTGTTCGCTAATCAGTTAAAATGGATCTTAATCAACTCAACAGTAGCACCTACTGCAAACCTTTCAAGAACGTCAAGGATATGAAGGTCGGTGAAAAGTATAAAGTGATTGGTATCGACCTAATCAATACCAAATATGGCGACCGAATACTGATCGATACTGAGAACTTTAAGTGCATCCTTCCTTTGCGCTTTTATGACTACTTCAAGAGCGACAACCGTCTGCAGATCTTCAAGGACACCTTGTCCAGGGAAGAAGTGTTTATAACAAGCGCCGGAACGGCGGGGAAGACTACTAATTTAACATTTATGTAAAAAAGTTGTAAATGAGATAGAGAGAAATAATAAAATGTTGTTGATGAGAGAGAGAAATTGTGTCTCTTATTTAAATGCATATCCACCCTTAGAAACACTTTAGTTGTTCTGTGATCGTGGGGTCGAGATCATCTCAACGAAAAAAAGCTCCAAAATGGATACAATCAGTTGTACTAATAATTATTTCTCGTGCTCGTGCTGGTGCTGTAATAACAACAAAGACACTAGTGATGATTCTATCACCCAGTTTGCCGAAAATGTGCATAGTAAAGCTGCCGACGAACGTTTAATCGATTGCTCATCATATGACCTCTACGATGGTGAAAGCAATTCGAAGAAATATATTGAAATTGGCTACAGTACGCATCTTAATTTGGCCCCAGTTTTACGAATTGTGCACTCTCCATTAAATGCGATAGTGATGGTGAAAGAAGATTGGGAAATGCTTCTAAAGCACCAAACATATCTCGAGATGAAGTTCTTTAGATCTCAAGAGCTCGAAAATTGGATCGACTGGTCCAATGTTAAGGAAGAAGATATTGAGCACGACAAAAGTTCTGAATCGCTTAACGCAAATTTTACTATTCATTATAACAGGAAATTTGTGCGGGATCCCACGACGACTGAGAAAATATTAGAGAGCGTAACAATACAACGTGATAAGCTGCATTATTGCACGATGAGTAAGTACGTCGTTGAAGAATTGTTTAATCTAAAAGATATAATCAACTATCGTTTGGATTTACTGGAATCGTACGCTCTGTCCTGTTTCTATCAGGATGTTATCGAACAGGTGATTAACTACCGTCATTTTCGTAAAATGGAGTTTGGTAACGAGGACGAGGGCGACGATGACAACATCTATCGCGATATTGAAGACGTATTAAACTATAAGTTTAACGTCAATTCTCATAATACAGTTTGCATGATGGAATTATTATACTATCGACCTACTTATTTTATGTATCACATATGTCAATAAACGTACTTTATTTGAGCATTTTTGTTTTATTTGATGGAAGTGATGAAGTGTACGGATGGGAGTGGCTTGGTTAATAATCTCATAAACAAACTTCCAGTGGAACTACATATTCCTGGCTATCAGTATTGCGGACCTGGTACTAAATTAGATAAAAGGCTAAAGCGAGGCGATCCCGGCATAAATGCCCTAGACGACATTTTTTTATAATAAACAGCTTTCAAAATAAACAGGCTGTTCCCCCTGTTTGTTTACCTATTCCCTTGATTGCATCATCATGGATACTAAAGAAATGGCCTTGAAACGACGAATAGTTTAAGCGTGTAAAGTATAATCGTCTCAAAGCGGATCGTTTTATTAAAGAAGTGGAGTTTGTACGAACGTATAAATCGCTAATTCAACCGCTATCCCAGATCGTTAAGTAAATCGAACCGCCGCGCCGTTAAGAGTCTTCTTTACCTAAGCGCAACTTTTTTTTACATTATAGTGTATAGATGATTATAGCTGCAAGAGATAAGATGATATTCTTGCTTTGTTAAGTCCTGTCTTGGTCCTTAGTTAGTTCCCACCGACACTGTGCAGCGGCGCCACTTGTTACACTCAAATTGTTGATTTAACGCCCGCCAAGATACAGACTTTATTTACAAAAATTATGACTTCATTTTTTGGGGTCATGTAACTTATTTAAAAAACTGTCGGTTTACTTTTTCCATAAATCGTCTTGATCGAGAGTAAAAAAATAAAACAGATTAGCGCAATAATCGGTGCGAAACATCTAATCTTTAAACAATCGGTATTCAGTTGGTATAAACTTAAAAAAAAATAGTCCGAACATTTTGTAGATAAAGGTCTAAATTTATAAAATAGTTCTTAAAAAAATTGTCTTTGAAAAACAACTATAGTTTTTATGGCGGGCGCTCTTATGGAAATTTACATTGGATGCAGTGGGTACAGAAGACTCTTAAGGTCATATCGATTTTGGCTCACTCAAAGCTTAATGCGTGCCGATACTGGCTCACTTTCAAGGCCATGCGGTGTTTGTCTGTCGAGCGGAGTTTGAGAACAAAGGGTGTATTGTTTTCGGGTGATCAAGGCGACTTAAGAATGGGTGTGGTTCAGATTAATATAAGTGTTTGTTGTAATGGGTCTTTGCTCAATAATTCTATAATAGGCGAGATGTCAAGAGCCATTGTTCATCATCATCCACAGCAGCAGCAGCAGCAACGGAAAAAAAGAATTGACGAACTGTTACTGAAAATTAGAAAATTAAAGTGGGATGTTGAAATGCTGGGTTGTCAGCGCCGTATGAAAAAACTGATTTTGTAATGATTCATACAGTGGCAGTTAAGGCAAGGATTATTTCTTTGTGTGTGAGGCAATGGCATAAATACGACGACGATGGTTATTTCTTGTGTACCAATTAAGACAATTTGTATGTAAAGTTTGCGAATTAAAAGAATGTATAAAGGGTGCTTATTCATTTTCCCCCGACATCCATCCTTTAGAACCAGCCTCTTTAAAAAAATTTGGGGATTGGTGTTTAATGAACTCTCAATTTTAAAAACGAGTACACTGTACCTACCGTGAATAGACGTTCTGCATGGTATCGCGCATTTGGTAAAAATAGAAAATTATCAGCTCGCATTATGCCGACTTGCGTATGCACTCATTTCATTGCACAGTGATATTCGCCGATTCGCGATGTGTTGTGGAAAATAATTTTGGTGTTTCTTTGTGATAATGATTAATTCGGATTAGTATTTTCACTCGAACTCAGGTAGGTACGTAAATATTACATTTCCGTGAATGTTTGTGGCAGATAAACTAAATTAATTAATATCAACAATCGCATTAAATAATCCATGTATTTTCTACAAATTAGGTACATTACATTAATGTTTTACTTATTAATTACAAATGTGAAGTTAAATTTGAAAAGAAAAATTAATTATTTTTTAAAAATTCCATGTAACTTATAATAAATTTCATCTCTCGATGCAGGTTTTCATCTTGAACTCGTGATGCATCCAACTCCCGTTCTAAACGCTCCGTCTGGAGTTGGGAATTTCTTTGTCTGGCCTGGAAAGTTGTCAGCATCTTCTCCAGACACCCCATTGATAACATCGCCAGCTCTTGGGGTGTGGATGGCTCGCGCCATCTGGGCGATTCATGAGATGGCGGCGGTGGTGGTGGCGCCTCTTCTTGGTCGATGGCTGCTGAAGACGGCGGAGAGACGTTTTCATAAAATTCTCTTAGTAATTGCATATCTTTTTCCCCCCTAGGCAACGGGGCACTGTAACAATAAGAAAAACACAGTATTAAAAATAGATTGTATGTATAATAAAAGTAACTTACTGAAAGTGATTGTTGCCGCCGTTATTTACAGGTAGCTGTAGTGGTAAATTTGGTTGTTGTTGTTGTTGAGCTGGATTATTTCTGTAACGTAACATTAGAATAATTAGTATTTTTCATATAAACGGAGGTACAGTAATGAGTAAACTTACGGAAATTGATGCATGCCACCCCATCGAGGATTTGTGGATGTAAAGCTACCATTTTCTGGTGGCTGCGTTTGAGTATTTGCCTGGGGTAGCGGCGCAGGAATTATAATGTGCTCCAATATTTGTACTGATGGATACTGGCTGTAAAAAACATATATGCATTAGAAATTTTATTTTTCGTGAACAATAATTTGTACCTTAACTGTTGTTGTTGTTGCTGTTGTTGTTGCTGGCCATGTCTGGGATCTATCACCGGGGGTCTCATGGGAGGTGGAGGAATCGTTGTAATTGGAGGAGCGTAAACATGATTGAAATTTCCCTCATATTCTTTTAGAAAATCTTCCAGTTCATTTGTGGTGGTGGTGGTAGCTATTGTTCTATAAAAAAAATAAAATAATACCTACAACATTAGTATCTATATGGATGGTGGAGAGCCAGTACTAAATTATTATACAAGTTTACAACTTACCTTTCCCGATGTCCTTCTTCATCTTCCGTGACGAGGTTGATCACATCACCATCGGATAATTTTGTAGGTTTTTCTAAGGCGGTCTTTAAGATTGAGCGTCCACCACCCCCACAGGCATTTATGTAAGGCTTCTTACTCGTTGCACTTTTTTTTAAAGTCAACTTGTTGGCGCGTTTGGTTGAAGACATGACGATAACGTGCAGATTAACACTTGTGCCGCAAAATGTCTACCCCTAGGTATATATGTGGAGGTTTTTGTTGGAGTTAGCAAAAGAGTGATTCTAAAATAACATCAAGGACGTTCTCACACACACATATCAACCATTGTCCCAAATGATACCCGTGAAACACCTGCAACATTGAAGATTCCCAGAAGACGGCAGAGACCATTCACCTCAGTTTAACAATGATAATATTCATTAATGTACTGGGAAGATGAACTTTAAATGAGCTTTAATCCGTGAGATCTCATGACTTCTGTGCATCATTGACGTAGTATCTGTATATCGCATTTCGTCAATTTTGCATAACCCCTAACAAGAAGTGTGGGGTGTGAGTGTCTGGGACAAACGATTATCTATGTAAGATACGATAACGAATTTCCTGCCACTCTTGGAATTTGTCGCAGCACCGTGTTATGGGTAGATATGATGGAAAATGGAATCTGATATTGTTCGACATATTTCAATAATCACTTCTAACAACAATTGAAAAATATCTCGATAAAAAAGGAGGGTGGTGGAATAGATGACATCGAGAAAAAGAGACACTAGGAAATATGTTGTATGGTGAATTACAATAATAAAAAGTAAATATTTAAGTTTTTAGTTATTTATTTATTCAAATCGACACATCATAACCTTATAGAACAACATTATTTTTATCAATCCACGATTTCTCGTCCAGACCCAACCATTTCACGTACACTTTGTCTTTCTTGCGACGCAGGACTTTTTCAACCAAGTATACGTCCGAATACTTGGCCTTCTGCAACTCATGTTCGTAAAATCCACCTAAAATCGGTTTAGCCTTCATGTCTTCCAACAAATACGTGACCGGATTTGTTATTTGTACTTTTATAATTTTGAACAGCTCACTGGACCAATTGGGGGTGTAGCCCTTCGCAAATATGGATTTAAATTTGCTAATTCGAACTACATCGCCGACATTAAAACGGCATTTCTTATTGTTGAAGAGCTTGATGTGGTTGTAGGCGTCCAGCTTTGTATCGGCCTTCACTTCGATCGGTTTCATCCCCGTTGTTCGATGTTTACGATTATTGTACTCGCTCGTGATCGATTCGATTGCATCTATCCATACATATTTTCCGCGTAAACTAAACTGCCGGTACAAGGGGTTTTTTATACTTCTTATAACCCTCTCGGCCAGTGCGGCCTTTTTCGTACTGTACGTGGAATAGTGATTAATGCGTTCTTGCATCATTAATTTGGCGAATGATTTGTTATAGAATTCCTTCCCTGCATCGGTCTGTAGATTTTTCGGTCTGCGTCTCGTAGATTTGAAAATAGCCTGTACGGCTTTTGTCACCTCCTCACCCGTTTTAGTCTTCAACCCTCGCGTCCATAGATATTTTGAAAAACAATCGATAACTACTAATATGTATTTGTAGCCTTTATTCTCTTTTGCGTAAGGTATAAATTCGGCTAGATCTGCTTGCCAAAGATCATCGAAGCCTTTAATGATGGTACGTCTACGAGGGAAGTTTTTGCGCGCCGCTTTGTGTAACTCGTTCACCACCTGCTGCATCCTCTATTAGTTTATGTAAAGTTTCTTTGACCGCTTTCAACTCTTCCTCTAGTACCGCTACGTAATTGCGAAGACTGTCTACGGGCGCTTTCGCAATCTGCATGTATTGTGTGAGGTACCCTTTATTTATGGCATCGCGGTCGTCTACTGGATCGGCGAGGTTCATTAACCGGTTTCCGTTGAGATTTAGTCTTGTTGATAGGTAGTGTTGCAACGTTAGGGCATCGTGACGTTCAATAGGATCCACAACATTACTTAGTCTCTTATTTTCCACATTTATAGTATCGTCGGTAATGGAAAATTTTGTCTTTAGCAGTTTCCCAAATTGAGCGTGGGTATGAGAACGTCCGAATTTATCCATGGCGAATGTGGGCAAGAAGACGGAAAAGGGGGTATTTATACTAGTTGACGTAAAAACGGTCGCGTGGGCTTTTTTATGTAACCTTCCTCGTACAGCTCTTCCACGATTGATATTATATCATTTTGTACTCCAGTGTTACCAGCCATTTTTTCACCCCATAAAACCTCTAAATCCCTAATCAGTTCATGCACGCTATTCCAGTATTTGTATTCGGTCGGTCGGCCGAGTTCCTTGAATATACCGCTTCCGGATTTCGCACGCCCCCTCTTCGTCTCTTCCTCCTCCTCCTTTAGTAGAGGCTTTATTATGAGCTTATACTTTTTGCTCTTATTGCCTCGAATCTGATCGGTGGGATCGTAATTGCGCCGTGCGACATGAGTTGCTATTATTATCTGCTTATAGTTATTTCTATCCTGATTGGATACTAGCGATTCATTCGGTTCATTCATAATGATCAGTTCGTATAGGCCCGCAGTACCTTTGTACCGGATCCCGTTAACGACCAAATCTTCGTCACTTATCGTCACCGGCGTCCTGCCCATCGTCCACTTATCCGTTTCGACATCATAATGAATTCCAAAAGTCGTGTCAATTGCATTACTCGTATCCCTTATCATGCGCTCGACGTATATCCGCGGTAGGTGGTTGTATTGTTCCAAAAAGGCTTGCGAACCTTGCATATCGAGTAATGAAGCAGATGATGATGCGACAGAGGATTCTTCTTCTTCCTCCTCCGGTTGATGCTCTCCTATCACTGTACTCTGTAGAAATGACGGCGGCTGTCTCAATGATGGAGTAGCCGTCGGGTGAAAAGGTCTAACCATCGGACTCATATCGGTTGGCGGATATTTTTGAAAGTAGGGCAGTCTAGCCAGCGGACTGATCTCGGTAAGGGAAGAGGGTCTTCGTCTCGATCGCATGTAATAAGGTATCGCAGGAGTCGTACGTTGTAGTGGTGACTTTCTTTTTGCAGGAGATTGGCGTTTTTTAGGGGGCGATGTAAATACTTCGTCCTCTGGCTCCTCCTTTTTCGTATCAATAACCGATGATGACGGCGGCGGTTCGATTTTCTTTACGATCTGGGATAGCGGTTGAATTAACGGTTTATACGTTCGTACAAACTCCACTTCTTTAATAAAACGATCCGCTTTGAGACGATTGTACTTTTGCTGTATCGCTTTACGCGCTTGAACTATTCGTCGTTTCAAGGCCATCTCTTTAGTATCCATGATGATGATGATGATGATGCGATCAAGGGAACAGGTAAACAAACAGGGGGAACAGCCTGTTTTTCAATGAGCTCTTATTTGAAAGCTGTTTATTTTGAAAGCTGTTTATTTTGAAAGCTGTTGACTTGATAGCTGTTTATTTCTAACTGAATAACAAACACGTTTTCACGGTATTATATAGTGATCGAAACCTTTCCTGAAACGGCCGTTTTGCACATCCGCATCCTTATTTATCACCATAAATCCATACGGATTTCGCCAACTTTCCGAGCACATCTCTCGGAACAACGGCATCGTTATTATGGGAGCAACGTGATCTTCATAAATGTGCCGCAAGTTCAAGTCGTCCTGTTCAAATAGAACAATTAAGTTGGCATTGTCCCTAATCAATTGTTTAGGAATTTTAGAATGCGTCTGACCCAAGTAGAAACAATCGATGGCGTTATGCCTGCCCATTGAAAAGTACGCTCTAATGTTATCCTGTTTTTCACATGCGATATCGTCAAAGATAAAAACTGAATTAGGTTTGGCCGCATTGGGTTCCATAATATCAGCGTTTTCGCTAAACGTAAAGTAGCCAATATCCTTCATCGGCTGAAGAATTTTACCCAAAAGCCTATATTTGTCCTGATTCAGCGATTTGGAATAGACGTACACGTGTTTGAAGCGTAGACCATTGGGTTCAGTTAACAGACTGAGCATCGTATTCGTTTTACCGCAATTAGACGGTCCGCATATTAAGCATCTCACACTGTTTGGAAGTAACTCGCCGTGTGTTTTTTTATACTCCACATTTGGCGTCGTATCTAGATTTTGAATGGGCAGCTTTTGCTTTTGCATCACCACCTTCATTTTTGGCGGTTGAAATAAGACTAAGAACATTTTTATCATTACATTTTATTTATAGAAAAAGTACAAATTATAGTTTCTTCACTTCCCCGGTCAGAGGATTGT